ACACCAACCCACTTCAATCTGACCCGGTAACTCATTTTATATATCATAAAAGCTCGTTAATTTATTATTAATCCATGGTTGACCAGGGTCAATACAGTGACCGGAAAGATCTTTCCAGGTGGGATTTAAAAACATTGGTTCAAGAGCAGAAGATCTTCAAGTCCCTAATAAGAGACAAACCCTTCAATAAAAACTGCAAGTGCAAAGAAATCAAATCATCAACAAGACAAGAGACAAATGGAACACATTTAGATTTCCTTGTCAAGCATGGCTCGAACTCTCATAGGAAGCCCATAGAGCCGAATGAATCCAGCTGCATCCGCTTGGTTGTACATCTCACTCCCTTCAAACGAAGATATGTCCTGTCTATACAGACTGAAGGGACTTTGTCGCGCCGTCACAGTCGCACTCCCTTTGTACAGCTTCAATCTAACCGATCCAGTTGTCGTCTTTGTTATATTCTCCATGAAAGCGTCCATTGACTCCCTCAATGGATCAAACCATCTTCCTGCATAAACCATCTCTGCGTATTCCAGAGCTAACATGTCTTTAACCCGAATGGCCACTCTGTCCAATGTCAGTGATTCTAGTTCTTGGCAAGCCGTGAATAGAACCGTGCCTCCTGGAGTTTCATAGACTCCACGGGATTTCATGCCAACTAGACGGTTTTCTACCATGTCGATGCGCCCAATTCCGTGTTTCCCGCCTATTGTGTTTAGCTCGGAAAGAAGGGTCGCTGGAGAGAGAGTCTTCCCGTTGAGCGAGACCGGGATTCCAGACTCTATTCCTATCTCGATGTACTCAGGCTCATTAGGAGCATCTTCAGGGTCTACACTCATCATGTACATATCTTTCTTTGGCTCATTTGCAGGGTCTTCCAATATATCCCCCTTTTAATCAAGCAAATATCCGATTTCAGAATGCAGGAGACAATTTGTTAGGAACTGAATAATGTAAGTAACCTCATTTACCTCATGACTAAGGTGCCATAGGTTCCTGTCGCGGCTGTAAATAGATTTCTTTGTCACGGGAACTGGAACATTATGCTTCTTCGCATACTCGATAGCATCTTCTCTGCCTTGGATTTCCCATTCTCTCCACGGTGCCACCACTTTAAGGTCAGGGTTTAGTGAAAAGAAGGTGAGCTCAAAGCGAACCTGGAGAACCAATAAAACTAATGTAAAACGTCCCATATGAGCCTTAAAACGTAACACTGTAGCATAACCTTCCGCAGGTTACCTGGTCATTTCCTTTGCCGGTACACCCATGTGCAACGGCATCAGCTCCAACTTCTGCTGCTACATCAACCATGGCCTATCATTTAGAAATGGTGTTAGATAATAAGATTTACTATAGGAGAACAAATACATAGAAAAACACAAAAGCTAACGGGTCTCCTCTTCGATGCTTAGAACATTTGGTTCCATCATAAGTTATGATTCATAAACCGTCCATCCAAAATGTTACCTTTGCAATGACAGGCCGTGCCATGGAGGTACCAAGCAAGTATTTCCGTTCATAGATGGCACCAGCTCTAAGACAAGGGAATATGTAATCTTTCACGAACTCCTCTTTCAGATCCTTAACAACCAACTGAGAAGCTCCACTGGCCTTAGCCTTTTGTTCTAAACCCTCCAACTCTTTTATGCCCTGCAGATAAAGCATTCAGGACAAGTTAAGAAGCTACTACAATGCAAGCTTCAGAGAAAAAAAACATCTTTTCAAGAATCAAATAATGGACACAGTTTGTGTTGTACCTGACCAACATCTGCTGTGAAGCACACAACTTCACAGCCATAGTTTTCCCTACAAACATGGGAAACACAAAGAGAAGTCGACAGATTTAGCAAACACGTAAACAGTATGAAACAAAAATCATAGTTCAAAGCATCTAAACTGGCCAATTCACATCCTAGCTAGCTACTGCCAGATGGCTCGGGATCTCTACTTCCAGTTAAACAGCAAACGCAACACAAACTACATCAAACTCTTATTATATATCATGTTATAGCTCAGAAGAAAATAACATACTTTAGCCATGGCACAATCACAGAAGTGTCTAAGCCTCCACTGTAGGCTAGAACAACTTTTTTGAGTTTGCCACGAAGTCCAGCCCCGTTTGAGTCAGTAGCCACCACAGTATTTCCATTGGTGGAGAGAGCAGCTTGAATAGCTGCAATTGAAGAAATTTATTGTAACAAAATGTCTTACTAGAGACAACTAGGCAATATCCAGAGTGGAACAACATACAATACAAGATGGTCTTTCTGAAGAGTCGAAAGTTACAATGGATTAGAAATGAAACACACAAAGATAACACATTTGGTGAAATTGAGTAACACCTTGAGTTTTGCAACTGCGGGAAACGGTGGCATGATTGCTAACAACGACACTGCCGGTAAGCTGGCTCCGCCTTGCAGATAACTGCAGCCAGCAAAGGTGAATAAAGAGAAGCCATACATACATATGAATATTTTTTTTAGCAAAGTACCTCTTGAGCGAGCAAAGGGGTTCTCGGGCAAGCTAGATTCTGACATCTGAAGGTACCTGCGATACAATCAAAATATCAATAAAAAACCAATCTGTTGAAACTAGACTATAAGCATCCCTCAAACCCATTAGCGATCTTATAAAAAAGACTAGAAATTAGCAGGACATTGAACTATTTTCATGCTCAAAGTTGCTCTAAATCAAGCATAAGAGAAATAAATGATTGGGAGCATGGAGAGAGAAGGAGAAACCATTGTGGGGAAGACGGAAAGCGAGAGGAGACGAGGAAGAAGAAGAGGGAAGAGAGGTCGCAGTGATTTGAGCCATCAAATATCTTTGCTTCTTCTTAGAGCGGAATATGATGTTAGAGAAAAATGCGTTTGGGGGGGTTCTGGACTTCTGGTAGATATGGGGCGTTTGGCCACTAGGGTTTTGTAAAGTGGGACACCATTTTTCTTTTCTTTTCTTTTTTTCCGCCTTAAAATTTTTTTAAATTAAACCCATCAAAGATATATATAACAGAATTTCTATCAAAAATTCGATTTTGAATAGTGTGGAAACTTAATTTTGCACCAAATATTTGTATGTGAATTCAAAAAACAAAACTTTAAGGTAAATAATTAGTACGGCGAGATGGATTTATATTGATTAAATATATAAAATAATTTTTTAAAAATATGTTTCCAGAGTTAATTGTATTGTTTAGTGTTCTAATATTGAAAAAATGTCGAATTCCTTGAAGATACATTGTATTTATAGCTTGATTTGGCTATGTTGTCCAGCTCCGCGTAACTTGGGATAGCTTCGGGTATCTTAGAGACGTTCGTAAGTGGTTATCCAAAAATCTTCTTTAGGCCCGCAATCGGTTCTAAGGTCTGTCATTTTCGAATATCAGTTTATTTCCGGGCTATTTACGGGTCGAATTTGGTGAAAAATCCAGTTCCATCAATTGCCTCCATCCCATTAAGTATGAGGTAACAAGTACATGATGGGCGGCTATATATCCCAGTTTAACCAAGTTGAAATCCAAAAATGATCTTCTAGATTAATTCAAATCACGGCTCGAGGTTTCACAATCATTACCATCAGACGACTACTTTTATGCTTGCCCATATAAATGAATAAGATCATGGGATGCGAAAGACTTGTGCAACATCGAAAATCGCGAAGTGCTACTGACGTCGGGCTTGTCAACCCACGTTTTTCATTGAACAATGACTTGGTTCCACCATCGTAGTAATTGAAGTTTTCTCTCTCAAAGATTTTAGAGAGAGAAGAGAGAGAAAAAAGAAAAAGCTATATTTTTGTTAGTCAAGACTAATCATTCAATTTTTTCTTTTTCATTATCTAAAACAGTTCAAGTTATATATTTATTTACGTGTATATTGATTGTGTATGAGTTGATCGCCCCCATGGTCGTTTGAAAGGAATAAATATCTTTAAATTAATTTGGCGCTAGAATGAGGGGTAAAAACACTATACTAAAATCAACAAGCAAAACCAAATTTCGTACAACGTCGCATAGCTATTCAAAAACTCGCAAGGACGTAGCCATGGACAAACCGTGGAAATGCCACACACTAGTAAGGTCAAGAACGACTCAAGAACAAGACAACACCCATCATAACCATGCGAAGCCAAAACTCTAGGCAATGACACAAGATCTCCGACGAGTCCTTTTAGAAAACCACCAACTCTGTGAGCAGTTAAAATAGGTGTTAGTCGTAAGGGGAAATTAGTGCGGAGAGAGGTAGACGGCGAGATAGTTGAGCACCCCGAGACGACTGAGGGGTAGTGGAGACCCTTATGAAAGGGATACTCTGAAGGAAGGGGTCCCACACAGGTCATCACATCTCCAAATCGATGCATCACATTCAACCAGGAGACATGGAGTTCGTCTCTGATCAGAGAGACTGGGAAAATGTCAGAAAAGAGATTTAGCCCATTTCACCCATCTTACAGATGGCCTGAAAAATCGTACCCACACAATGAAAGATTTGGTGGAGGAGTAGAGGAAGATGAAGACAAAGATAATCGGGAAAGGGAGGAATGAAGCGATGCCAAAAGAAATATGAAGGTTGCCTCTATGGTGAAGAGAATGAAGTCGCTAAGGAAAAGCGACGAAAACCCACGAGGAAATAGAAAATAGTCTCCTGCAAAGATCAACGAGCATGGGGGGGAGACTCCTTGAAAACCAAAGAACAAAAAATGCGGTATGATCAGAGTAAAGATATGAAAATCATCTCTATCGCCTAGAAATAGACCCGTGAATGCGATAACATCGCCTATCGGGAAAAAAACACTTAACGATGGCGAGAAAGAAAGAAAACACGTCACTAACACGTGTTCCTACATGTGATAAGGAATGGAGCCACACGTTGGGTTGTCGTCTCTTTCATAATCAGGCGAAGACATGGCATGCCTCTATTGTTAACTTAGCGGCTCTTGAATAATAAATAGTAGCCCCAAAAAACGGAGTCACATAACCTCTAGATTAAGGTTTCGAGAACTAGAAAAAAGTGATGATTCTGCTTTAGCCGCAAAAGTGAAAGATAAAACAAAAGAGGCGGCAAAACAACAAAGACAAAGTAAAAAATAAGACAAGAGAGTAAGAAGACGGATTGTATTCATCGTAATGTACACATCAAGAAAGTCTATCGGGAATATAAGACTTAAAGATTGGCAAGCAGCCTCAAACGTAACAACAAAAGACATAGAACCCCTAATTCGTGTGTGCGGATCTTTGAAGAACTAGCTGCATCTCGACTTATCACAGATCAAATCAACCATATGTGTGGCGTCCATCACTCCATCTTCACATTTCATTCACTTGAATACTCTAAAGAGATCCGTACAGAGAGTTAGAGCATTGCACATCTCATTCATTCATAAATCATCTCTATTATTGTTCTAGAGAGCTTCGTGTGGCGGTCGAATCTCACAATTAGAATCTAAGTGATTCTTTAGGGTTTGTAAAGTTCT